TGAGCCACCCAGGCGCCCTTTGTTGTTGTTTTTTAAGTAAACTCTATAACCAACATGGGGCTCCAACTCATGACCCCAAGACCCAGAGTCACATGCGCCCCTGACCGAGCCAGCCAGGTGCCCTGAGGCAGAGCCGTCTTTACCTGAAGGACAGGCCCTACTCTGACCGGGGGAGCTGAGTGCTGCTGGGGCCCGCTTTGTAAGCCAGGCCGATAGTCACAACACTGACCATCGCTCCGATAAGATGGACGATCAGGGGCCCTTGGCCGAGCCCCCAGGCTCCGTGTGGCCCTCGGTCTGTCCTAGACCTCCACCCTCACTATGTGCGCGCCTTATCCACCATTTCTGCCAAACACCTAAATTCTGCTTTGGCATGTGCCATTTTCTCTCCCAGAACGCTCTGCTCCCCTCCCCTCCCCACGCAGGCCCCGTGTGGACCCTTCATGCCCTGCATCACAGGGGCTTCTGCTCGCTCCACTGACCACCGACATGCTCTGTCCAGCACCAGTCATTCATGTCGGCTGACACTCTCCTTCCGGGCTCGTGCTCTCTCTGAAGGCAGGGGAAGTGTCTTAGTTTCCTGTGACCGCTGTGACCAATGATCCCACTGGGTGCCTTAAAACACAGGTCTCTTCTGGCGCAGTTCGGGAGGCCAGAAACCCAAAGCCAGCGTCAGTGGGCCCAGATCAAGGTGTTGGCAGGGCTGTTCTCGTTCTGCAGCCTGTGGGGGAGAACCGCTTGCCTCCTCGGGTCCTGGCAGCCGCTGGTGCTCCTAGGCTTGTGGGGCCGTCCCCCGTCTCCGGGGCCCCTTCAGGTCACTCCGCTGTCTCCACAGCATCCTCTCCCCGTGTCCTCACATCCCTCTCTGCCCCTTCTAACAGAGACACTTGTGGCATTCCTGGCCATAATCCAGGACACTCCCCACCTCAAAATCCCTACTTACATCTGCAGGTGTATCTTTTTTTCCAAGTAAGGTAACATTTCTAGTTTCTAAGAACTAGGACCTGATACCTCTCCCCAAACAGCCACCATCCAGCATTCACTCAGTCTGCGCACCTGCCCCACGAGATGGGGACTGTGCCCCTCCCCACGGCAGATGAGGAGATGGAGGTGTGCAGAGGTGAGTCGGTAGCAACACCCGGAGCTAGGCCAGGTGTTCTGGCCCCAAAGGCCAAGGCCCTGGGCCTCTGTACTTCCTGCCTCTGTGGCAGTGGGTTTGTTCAATGACTAAGTGAAGACAAGCAACTGAAGAGTTTGAAGAAGACCGACAGTAGCCCAGTAGCCGATGAAGGAGGGGGAGGGAAGAAGAGGAGGGAGGAGGAAGAGAGAGTGGGAAAAGAGGGAACAAGAGGATCTGGGGGCAGGCGGAGTACCCCCTGAATTTCTCCTGGCACCCCATAGCTCCTGAGACTCCCAGACTGAAATCGTCCCTCCGAAGGGCTGGTGATCCTGGACTCATCCCAAACACTCCCCACCCCTGCTTTCTTCCCGGAAGGAAGATGAGAGCTGCCTTGGCCCCCGTGAGCTCACGTCACCCCCCTCGTCTGCAGGGCACGAGAGCTATGTGACCTTCTGCCAGCTGGAGGACGAAGCTGCCTTCACATGCAGCGCTGACCACACCATCAGGAAGTGGGACGTGCGCACTGGACAGTGTCTGCAGGTCTTCCGAGGACACACGTCCATCGTGAACAGGTCGGTGTGGCCGGGGCCCCAGGGGACAGAGGTGTAGGCTGTGCAGCCCCTGCCCCTGGAGGAACTTAGCTTCTCTGGGGAAGCCTACCTGCAGATGCGTGTGTTTTAGGCACGACAAGGGCTGACTGCCCGGGGTTGCACTGGGGGGTTCGGGAGGCAAAGGTTGGGGAACGGAGGCGCCACCAACACATTGATTGTGCCCGGACCCCGGCAGCGCACTGCCCACTGCTAGGCACCGGGAAAGGCAATGGAGGCCTCAGCTCCTGCTGATGGCAACAAATTCCAGAGAAGGTGGTCTAACTGGTACCTGATGGTCGGCCCAGGGGGGATTGTTCTGAAGACGAGTCCAGAGTATTTGTAAACCTCACCTTTCCATGTTGTTCTTGAAATAACCCACCCCCGCCTTCTCAAGGGGGTTTGAATTTTTCCTTTCCTTATTGGATTCGGGTCTGAGCTGGGCCATGAAAATTCCTTTGCTGATCAGATCAATTTGACACTATTTATGTAACTTGTGGAGGCCGACTTAAACTCCTGAGGGAGTGTCCAGTATGACCAGGAGTCTGGGCACCTGCCCGCGGGCCCTCAAGGCCTCACTGAGGGGGGTGGGGGGCGAGGGGGGGCCTGGGGGCTGAGCTAAGTCCCTCAGGACAAGGGCTCAGTGCAGGCAGGCATTTGGAGGGTCAGGGGCTGGGCCGGGCTGGGCTGCGCAGCTGGAGGAGAGCTGTTCTCAGCCATAGGGATGCTGCCAACCTGAGCTTGGCGCAGACCTGGCTTGGGGTGGGAACCGACTCGCCCAGCGGTTTAGTGCTTGCCGGGGCGGCGGGGAATGGGGGGCCCTGACCCACCACTGACTGGACTACCAGCTGCCTGCAGTCAGAACTGTGCAGCCACAGGGCAGGAGCCAGGTACCGTCCCTCAGCAGAGAGACGGCTCAGGATGGTTGCGAGTGGAGAAGGTCCCCTTCCCGCCCCTGAGCTATTCTGAATCCTGCCCCCGCCGCTAGAGCGGACGGGGCCCGCCACCCGCCACCAGGGCCCAGCAGCTGCGGTGTGGAGGAGGGCACACCTCCTGCTGGTGGCTTCCCGACACCCTTCCTTGAGGAAGCAGTTTGTGAGTGAGCAGAGGCGTGGGTGTGCGGGAGTCTCGCGTTGTGAGGCCGGGGCGGGTGGGAGAGGCCACATCTCAGGACCGGCTTGCGCTCAGCTTGTAACCGCAAACTATCAGCTGCTCCTCAAGAGCAAACCTGGATAATCGAGGCTAGAAATTATGCTGTGCTGGGTTCAGACTCTCCTGAGCACACACACACACCATACACACACGTCCACACACACCACGTTTGAGGGGTCAAGGTCCCAAACGGGTCGTTCTGGGCAGAGACTAAGGGTGACTTAGCAACTGGGTTGCATTACTAAGTAACATGCTCACAGATATGCCATATCCTTGAGCATTTCCATTCCCGAGGATGTGGAATTCACTTCTTCCCGTGTTTTCAGAGCCCGGCCGGGTGTGTGAGTTTTGGGGGGCACCGAGCATGCCTTCTCATGCCAGGCCAGACCGGGCAGGCCTCCGGCCCCCAGAACATCCCCCGCGGTGCCACGTGCTGTCATGTGGTCACTTTCCCTTGCACATTCACGTGTCCTGAAGACCGTACGGACGGGGTGTTAGGGAAGAAGTGAGTCCGAAGCAGTGCGCACATCGGCGCGGTCGGCCTCCCCAGTTGCCTGTGGGAAGTGAGCACCGCGCAGAGGTGAGCGGCGTGGACGGCGAGCAGGCGGGAGGGCTGTTCTCGGGGCCCATCTCTCCCCGCACCTGGGCCAGGCTCGCGGGCAGACGGAGCAGCCCTCGCCTCTGACCCCAAGACGCAAGGTCGCCACTGCTCCGTCCCCACACTTGTGACACACGCCGGTCCAGCTGCCCCTCCCGCCCCCCTCTGTGGCCTCCTCTTGGTGAGTGGGGGGGCTCAGGGCTTCCTAACAAGGGTGTGTGAACAGAGCCTTTGACGTCATGCAAAGCTCTATACTGACGACCAACGTGTATTTTCTGGGGAGAAGTTCTTAGCATTCATCAAAATGAGACTGAGGATCGTGAATATTTGCTGCTCTGGAGGCCTCTCCTCCGCCTATGGGTGTGAACGGAGCTCCGCCCACACGAAGCTCCCCGGGCTCACTCAACACAGAGGGCCCTGTGAAGGCCTGCTAGGCACCCCTGCGTGCTCTGACCCCTGCCCCTACCTCTGTGTGCTCTGAC